GAGCCTGTACTTGTCATTTATCACTCCATTCATATTTTTTGGATTTGCATATACAGAGTGACTCAAAAAAATTAATGAATGCGTAAATTTATTTTATTGATTTAATCAGGAACTACAAAACCGAATGCTTTGAAATCTTGCAGATGTTTTAAGGTTATAAAGAGCATAATAAATTTTTAGTCAAAATATATTTGGTTATCTTCTACAAAAAACTGATGACGTCAGCTCAAAAGTTTGCCGAATAAATCGTATCTAAAATGTACAAAATATGATGAGTCTGTACTTGTGATTTATCATTCCATTCATATTTTTGGATTTGCATATGCAGGGTGACTAAAAAAAATTAATGAAGGCGTGAATTTATTTTATCGATTTAATCAGGAATTACAAAACCGAATGCTTTGAAATCTTGGGAATATTTTAAAGTTATTATAAGCATGGTAAACTTTTGTTCAAAATGTATTTGTTCATCCCTCCAAAAAAAATTTATGACGTCACCCTTAAATTTTGCTGAATAAATCCTATCTAAAATGCAAAAAATATGATGAGTTTGTACTTGTGATTTATCATTCCATTCATATTTTTTAGATTTTCTTAAGAGGTGGTTCAAAAAAATTAATGAAGTCAATTTATTTTATTGATTAAATTAAAGGCAACACTTATTATTAGTATTACACCCCAACCAACCCAATTTGGTAGACACAAAATTTGTTAAAGGAAAAACTCGGTTGAAACATTGGGTAGCACGCTTATTTACATCGACTTTAACATTACAGACCTGCATTTGTTTTATGCGTTCACTTGATTCCGCGAATGTGAAATAGACATGTTTATAATCAACCAATTGTGAATTTCACCGTCAAGAATTAAAATAAAACCCAATGTTTTATATAATAAGCGGAAGTCGAAGCAATAAAACAGACGTCGTTTTGTTTACAGTTTCTGTGTTTGGCTCTCACGTATGCTGTTACGCCTGTCATCTTAAATTAACAATGTTTATACATACACGATTTTCAGTTGCCTCTGATACGTAGGTATACGCGAGTAAATTGTTTCGTTATTTTATTGATTATTACAAATCAATATTCAAACGACCCAATTCATTTTCCCGAAAATTTGAGAATATAATAATTTTATTCTTAGTATTACACTACATCTATCCCAACTGATATACGTGTCCTTGCAAAAATGTTGATGACGTCATCGCAATTTTTTTTTAAATTCCCACTACAAAAATGTAATGAGAAAAAAAACACAATAGGCATGCAGTCGTCAAGTTTCCGACAGCGAGGGAAGTACTGTCTAAACTCTTTAGACCAATTTTTTTGGTTATTATATATATTTAATTTTATAGGATTGCCTACTCCTGCATGTGTGATTTATGAATCCGTTTCGAGTTTTCTTCCTGACATCCAGATTTTTGAGAAAAAAATCAAAATTGTATAATAACATTTTACAATTTAACTTTGAAATTGTAAAACAGAATGCTTTGAAAACTTGCAAGCTTTTAAGATTATATGGTAAATTGATAATATTTATTTTTCGTTTACGGCCTCTAAAAATGAACAATGTTCCTTAAATTTTATAAAATTACATAGTCCATGAATGTGTAATTTAGAATCCGTGTTGAATTTTCTCTCTAGACATCGAATTTTTTGGGAAAAAATTCAAAATTGTATTTTACAATTTATCGTTAAAATGGCAAAAGCGAATGAATTGAAATATTCCTAACGTTTGAAAGTTATAGGAAAGATGATAAATTGTTAATCAAAATTTTTCGACAAAAAATTATGATGTCATCTTATCGACAAATGTCATTTAAATTTTATAAAATAACATAGTCCTGTATGTGTTCAGATTTATGAATCCATGGTGACTTTTCACCCTTAGCATCCAGATTTTTGGAAAAACAAATCAACATTGTATAAAAATATTTTACAATTTAACTTTGAAATTGCAAAAACCGAATCCTGTAAAATTATTAATATATTTTAAGATTGTTTTTTATACGTTCCTCTGCGTTGAGGACACAAAATCAACAAAATTACATTTTATTTTAATCGCAGATTATCGCTTGTTATCTGATCGTACTAAAAATCGAATTCCCAGGTTGTATAAATATAAACAGTCGAAGTTAAGCATATACTGAGAAAGTTAGTTATTTGCTTTAAATATTTTTCATATTTAAAGGAGGAGTTGCAAACGAAAATCGCGAAATTTAACTTTTAACTTCGACATTTTTTCACTAGCTTTGTTTTTCTTGGTAACGTCATCAAAATTCTAAAGACATAGTTTTTTCAAAACGCCCATGTCGCAGGTAAAACTGAAAAGAATAATAGTAATAATACTCAAACCACATCTGCGTACAAAACCACAGAGCCCCACTTTGTAAATTTCCCGGTGGACTCCTACATCCTCAATCCGATACTGCAGACGCAGACACACGACTGACGAAAACCTATTTCTTCGTACTCTAGGGGTCATGATACGTCGAGAAAACATAAAAGTGGCCAGTCGCCCGGTGGACTCGATTGCAATACTTCCTTAGTTTACGCTCAAGAAATAAAAATTAAGGCGCATTCATAAACCGCTTACGGATGTCGTATTACAAAATTTAAATAGGATATACTTCGCAAAATTTTGAGATAGTGTCATCAAATTATTGGTGGGGATGATCAGATAAAATTTATTCAGTATTTTACCTTCAGCACACAACACCTGTATATTAAAGTGCGTATAAATTTTAACAACAAACATTGATGTCAGTGCAAAGGCCGTTTTACACCATCAATAATTATAGCCAGAATTGTGGCAGTAAATTTGTAGACAAAATTGTGGGTCGTATTGAACAAGGGAGAAGTGTGGACGAAGCTCGTGGCTAAATCATGCAGGAAACAGCAAAAATGGTATTAGGTAAGCAAATACATTAAAAAAAATAAATAAATAACCAATCTTTCAGTCCATGGTGAAAAGCATTAATAATAATTCTATATGCTAGCCAGCGACAGATCAGTCGAAATTTAGGTTAGGTTGGATTATTTTCCCTTTTACAAACTTTCTGGCAATTCAGTTTTTAACATTTTAATGGCGCGTAAAATTCAAGAATTCTACTTTGCTGAAATTTAGCAACAGTAAGATGAAAATGCATCAAACGATCCTAAAACAGGACATCGCTGGCTTTTCTGACATAATGTGTAATTTTTTGGAACGAACTATTTTTTCCTGTAATGTTTTAAATGCCTCATCGCACCGATCGAACACAGTTAAGAAAACACGTTTTTTGTTGTAGTACCTTATTTGTTTTATGTATATAGGTAGATTAGGTTAGTGTTTAATAGTTATTTTGTATTAAGGGCATAATTATGAAACTATGGCAAGAGGGAATGTTTAAAACCCGACGAAGGAGGGCGTTTAATTTCCCGAGGGCCATAATTGACAATTATGCCTCTGGTACAATTAACGTTTTATTCTATTTTAGTTTATAAAATATTTGTAACGTAATATTGAGTATTATTTAATACCTAGATAGCAGGTTGTTTGTTAAATAATTCGTTTTTCAAAATGCAAATTGAAGAAGAGGAAAACGTTTATTCAAAAGAAATTTCAGAATTCGAAGTCGCCTAGGCATTGATTTGATGAAATATGATTTTCCTCAACTTTGATAAAAATGATTAATCAATCGTTGCTTGCCAATTTTTGATTGATCTGTGCCATAAAGGCCAATTTATGTCCGCATTTGGGTGCTTATAAACAAGATTATGATTCTCAAATAGAATAAAATAACTTTTCGTACCGGAAATCAAAATATTGAGTACTGTCGTACACAAACAAGGGAAACTTTTAGTTGGAAGTTTAGCAAAATGGTTATTTATGTCAGACAAGTGCTAAGAATGCCGTTTTACTCTGAAACTAGAGAACTTTCCGAAACGAGGCCAACAGTCGCGTTATACGGAGAAATCCTAGGAGGAAAATAAAACAGTTCTGGTGTATGCACCACAGTATTGTCTATACGAAATCCAGACATCTACCAAGTTTAAATTACATTGATCGTTAATTAATATGTAACAATAAATAATGTCTATCTTGATTAAATAATAAATGAATGTTGTTTATTAATTGTATAAAATGGGAGCAATTTATAGGTGTGTTTAAACTTTGAAAATAAATACTGTAAGTAATTATTAAAAGTGAGGAAGGTTATGGTTAAGATTCAAGGAATTATTTAATTGTACTATATATAAAATATAACAACCGTGCTTTGATTGCGATTTAAAATTTATCAGAGCTCAAATGGCACCCAAAAAGTTCGCAACACAATTAATATTTAATTTAAACTACACTCCGTTCTAAAAATATTTCTTCCCTGGATTAAAACCTGGTAGTCCGGCTTCCTCAAAACACGCGCCAAATGAGGAAAGTATAATTAATTGTTTTTATGAGAAAATGACATTTCTTCAATAACGGTAGGTACTATATTTTTACATAACCAATCATGCAACACTTAACCTAAATGTTTAATAACTGTTTCAGGCGATGATTAAAATTGCAATTATTTATTACTGCTTGTACCTGTGTTGCTAGGAACATTAAAAACAGCAACTGTGTATGTATTTGGTTTTTACGAAGTGCCGTGCACTAGAAAAGTAGCGTAGCGATTTTTTCTAAGCGACCGAAGCTCGCAACAAGATGACACACTGCGTGTATGCTAGTCCATATTTCATTGCGTGACAAAGCAGTTGGACAACGTTACTTATTTATTTGTTGAGCAGCGTCACTCTATGCAAGGAGCGACACCTTAATTTGGTTAGATCTTGATGTCTCCGCACCTTTTCGAGCGCTTAAATGTGTTTTGACAATCGACAACGACAATCGTCCCCTGAATAACAAATTAGGTGATTGTGGAAGGGTGTATCCGGAAACGCCGGTTAGTCACTATGTCCACATCCGCCCAAGTTAGACAAGGAGTACGTGGCTAGGAAGCAGAAATGAAACCGCAGACGTTTTATAATACAAATTTATTATGTTTTTTCTTAGATACACAATATCCCTCGCGAATTATATCAGAAAAACTTTACAAAGCTACTTTCGATTTTAAAAATTAAGAGGTAAAAATAATGTCTCTTACAATAAAAAGGACAATATGAGCATTTAACGCGTTACAACATTACAGCAGCGTGCAACGAGCGATTGGACATCCGTTCGAGATGTAGAATGACTCGTTGCAGGTTATTTTCTGATTGGTGTAACAGTCACAAGGAAGTTGAATACTGTCAAAACCGTCTAATTCTAAAATTATCACAAATTTCAGCGTATGCTCCGTTCTTTAACTAAGTGTTCCAATAAAACTAGTGCTTGAATTTAGATTAAGATTTTAGAGAGACCGGTTAAAAGACTAATTCACACCAATCATATAGCACAAGATTACTGACATGAACAAGCAAGAACACAAACAAAATATTGCTGAAATGATTGCAAAACTGCTACAAAATCAAGGAATACAAAAACCTTACCATGACCTTATGAGAAGACTCGGCAACTTACAGCTACTTTTGTGCTTTTGGGAAACAAAATCAACTTTTGCTCGCTTTTTTAAAGGGCAAAACACCACAAACGGGTAAAGTTTTCACATCCAATAATTTCATACACTATACGGTACAAAGCTTTCGGGTTCAAGGGTAAGAGGTAAGGAAATAATTAAAGAAGAGAACAGCGGGACTAGAGATTTTTTTATTAAAAAACCCTAACTGTAATTTCTCAGTATCAAATATTTAGAGATAGCAATGGTATAAGAAAAGCTAACACGAAATGCTTATTTTAAATAATTAAAAAATAAAGACCGCGTTCTTGAAACGTACCTCGCGATTGAGCGGAACACGTTTAAAAAACACAAGTCCAACTTAAGAAAAGTATCCTAAATATCCCTAAAACAATGATCGGTATTTATTGAGACCACAGTCTAAAAAATCATAAATAAACCAAAGTAGACTACCTTATAAGCACTTGCATCGAAGCCAAAAGTCGAATATCTACCGAAAATAACAGGAGGAACGTGTTGGTTTTTGATGTTGTTTCAATCGAATGCTTATAAAATAACCTACATGGGAACAATGAAAATTAAAATCAATGATCGCAGTTACACGCATAATGATTGTTTAAAGGAAATCAACCGTTCCTACATTGAATTATACTGATGATGATGCACTCGAATATACACATTGCTGTTCGCTGTTATTATTGAAAAAAATACAACTTTTGTAATATAATAATAGTCGCCGCACGGCAATGGCTGTGTTGCAGCGGCCCGCACTATCTGAAACAAAGGATCCTAATCAGCCAAACTAACTATCTCGCGAACACACTCTGCTAGTTCACGTCATTCGAGCAGAACACCGATTCCACAAAATAAATACCCACCTCTAGTATCCGCAGGTAATTAAATAATCACCTAGCTTTTCTACAACTGACGCTGCTTGTTGAGGTTGGATAGGATCTTCGTAAAGGGATACTACGACAGCTGGAACAAAGAGCAAAATAAATCACAACTCGACCGCAGGCTAGATGGGGCAAACATCAATTTTGTTATTTTAACAGCTTTTAGCATAAAAACACAAAGAACTTCTTCTAGGCATAATCTAAATTCGCAATTTAAATAATAATAAAAAAAATCGTTTCGTTATAATAATATAAGCTCACAAAAAAATTACACAGCAATCACGATTTCTAATTTTTGTCAAATTTACAATTATTCTGGCACATGTGTTGCATATAGGATTAGATTTGACACACAATACCCGACCAATTTTTTTTAAATTATCAAAGTTCGGCGTACAATGCCACGTTATGCAAGATTTCGAAATCGGTAAATACGATTTAAGTCAAAACCTCATTCAAAACTTCGAAACTGACAACAGCAAAGTTAAATGAAATCCGTTCAAGCTACGAGAGTGTGCCTCGCTTAGTTTGCATAACCGTACACAATTAGCACGTTGCGACTTGTAGAACACGCCAGAACCTGCATAGTGACACTAATAGAAACATGCAATGCAGGTAAATCAGTGTTTATCCAACAATAAATGTTATAACATCACGACGCTGTGTATAAAAATGGCGTCTCGTGATTGTGTAGACAATCCACACGTCTATGGTAACTTTGTTACACAAAATCAAAGACAAAATGTAAACCAGTTTGTACGAGAAGAGGTGTATACCGCCTACTTTGGGTTCAAAATAGGTATTCAGGACACAAGCTAGATTCGACATATAGTGTACTGTACGTGTGTAGAAGGTCTAAGATTGTGCAAACATGGGAGGAAAGCAGCTATGCCCTTTGTAAACCGATTAGACTTTATAGCCACATTAGCGACATTTTGCTACGTTAACGTAAAAGGGTCCAATGTTCAAAACAAGCTAGTAGATACCCTGTTATTTCTGGTTATATAAGGGCCTACACTATTGAATATCCTGTTTTTGTTGTGTTTCTTGTCAACTGCTTTCGCAAACATCTGTGTAGTCGTACGAGGTACTAAATTGTGCTAGTGACTATGAAGACAATTGACAACCAGAATTGTTTTCACAAACTGAACTAAAAGATATTTAAATCTAACAAAAAAGGTGAGGAACTCTTAGGTGTAAAATTCAAACCTAATGTACACGCAACTACACTTCCATTACTTTTCTTCTGATGGTTTTCTAGTATTCTCCCAGGATATTTCTACAATTGCGGACTTCTTTTGATATATTCTACGGAGCAAATGACTGGAGACCTTTTATAGATTTTCCAAAACTTAAAGGTAGTATTGCTTCATAATAGAAATAAACACACCCTCCAGTCCTACTCCGCGTTCAGCACATGTAAAAAAACGGAAATATTAAATTTCTTTTGGGGAAAAACACAAGTGAATGGTATACGACGAATTTAAAGTAGTAGAACTGCTTCTTAGTTAAACAAAAACGTGAACGCGGTACTTCCTTGACAAAAAAAATATAGTCCAAGTATTTAAGTAAGAACATTAAAACATTCTGGGATAATAATAAGAATGGTCAATTATGTAGCTACAGTGGACAAGTGTCAAAAAATAAAACTTTAGGCCGCAGCGTAAGTGTTTGTTGTCTGTTATTGAATACAAGTCTCCACAGTTGTACGTCGACATGTAACATGCTGTTTACAGTTATCGCAATGCTTAGAAAACCAGAAGAGACCAGTGCTAGAAGTATCAAACCCATTTATTGTTACGAGATCAATATTAATTTTTCAAAATTTCAGTTTGTTAGTTTCGCCAACAAATAGGACGTCGACAAGAAAAGCGTCAAGTGACCTTCTGTATCAAGATGATGGTACAGTTTAGAATCAAAAAGTAGTTATAATAGAGTAAAATGGCCCACTGGATGTTTTGGATGTCAGTCACCTATAACGTTTATCCAGGACGAGTTACAACCGGCCGTTACTTGAAAATTTCGTGTGGTTCGAAGAATAATTAAGTTCTTTGACCTGGACACGAATATCTTAAATTATAATCGCCGCCAAACCACCCATTCCTTGAATAAAAATACTGGAATTTTTGCAATTTAATCCGCACCCTTCTAGATACATCGTTAGACAGTTAAGTCGGCATGAGATGTGACGAAAGAAAAAAACCAAAGCAAATATCCCATCTACACCTTACTATCTTGGTTGTTTAGGGTTGTTGCTACTTTAAACAAAGCTTTCAGAATTACTTAACCGAAAGGATCGTTTTTGGTACAGAAATACCGGGATTTTTTTAATTTGTGATCTAGTTTTCAGGAAGTGAATGGGTGTATGATGCCCAACCCTGTCGTCAGGGAATTTTGTGAAAAATTCCCTGGTGTTGCTGTCCTTGAAGCCAAATTTTCAAAGACCCTCAATGATGTGTTAAAATTATTTCGTGGGGCTGGGAGAATTAAGAGGAAATCAGGAAATCATACATTAACAAAATAAACTCCACAGGCCACCGGAAATGGTCCGACAGGTTATGGATGATAACCCCTCATACATGTGTCTTCTTTATCTGATACAACCCCTATAACTGTTTTATTTTTAACGATTAACCTATAGTCCTCTAGGAAAATTTGTATTATTTTTAAATACTCGTATCTATCCGATTGTAAGCAAATCCTCTTATTATCACGGACCACTGCTTTTTTACTACAAAAAATCGAATAGAAACAATTTTCTAAAATAAATAATTATGACACAGTGATTTATTAGCTGTTAAAAATAGAGACACTTCTGACAGCTTGAATCAAATTTTGGTATTTCCCCGTATTAATTGTATTTTGAAGAAAAATTGTGGCCGTCTCTTTAAAAATAGAAGGCATTAACATCTTGAAGGAGGTGGTTTTACCAAATGACAGGAACTGGCAGAGTGGCTATTAATAAGAGGCCAAGAAGTTCACCAATAAGGACATTTTCAAAAGATACAACACTCACTACTGATCCATTGAAAATTTGCATTTATTCAAGCCAGGGGGAAATCAAACAGCTTGGAAATTTAATGTATGGGTTGGCATAGTAAATAATACCATAATTGGACCACACTTTTTTTATATCAACCTGAATGGCGAGTAATATTTTCGTATTCTGCGGCAAATGGAAGAAGGTTATAGATAACTGACCACTGAGTCACGTCCAAAAATTTGTATTTTCAACAGGATAGTGCACCACCTCACAACGTGAGAAAAGTGGATATTTTTTAACAGAAATTATTCAAAACCGTTCGATGGGGAATAAAGGGTTCAACAACATGACCTTCAAGATCGCCTGATTTGAACCAAACAGTTTATAGGGAATGCCACACCAGGCATTCGTAAACGTGCGGAAATATGTATCGAACAAAACTGTGACATTTTTGAAAATTTGTTGTGAGAAATACTTGTGCTTTGTATTCAAATTTAATTCTTAGCCTGTTCTACTACTTATGATGTTTACACAAAAAAATATTCACAAGTTAAATTCTCGTTTCGAAGTGGTCTATATTTTACTTAATGGTGGTTTTTGTCCATCAAAACATTTTATTTAAATTTAATGGACCTATACAGATGAAAAGATGAAATAATTTCGGAGGCTTTCGCGGTCGGAATCAATACATGATCGTTTTCCGGGTTGGAACCGTGTTAATCGAGTTTTTGGGCTCAACGTTTCGCACACTTTCGTAAGTGGCATCTTCAAGAGCAGGGTTAAGAATATTGAGTTACCGTGCTCTTTTGCCTTATTCTTAACCCTGCTCTTGAAGACTGCACTTACGAAAGTGTGCGAAACGTTTAGCCCAAAAACTCAAAACACGGTTCCAACTCGGAAAACGAAAAACATGTATTAAATGAAAAGATGGTTTTTAATTTTACTGAATAACTTTTTTTATGAATTTTAGAATATTGGTTGCTTTGATCTTTGTGGTAAAAATAAAACGATTGACTTATTAAAAAATACACTCAGCATACCATTTTTGAGAATATAAAGTTGATGTCATTTCCGGTGTTATCGGAAGTCAAAATTAAAGAATGTGTTTACCGTTAAAAGATCTAATACCATACAAATTTGTACAAAGAAGAAATGACATATCTTCAAAAATAAAAATTTACAGGGGTTGTATCAAATAAAAAAGACACTCGGTATCTTTAAGAAGGCTTTCACAAGTTGACTTATCATATCCAACTGTTCAAAAAATTGTTACGTTGTTTCCCAAACAAAATCCAGATGTTTCTAGAACTTAAACCACCTGATTATGAAAAGAGAATGATTTGTTGTAACTGATTTAATCAAACAATGAACAATGGATCTTCTCGATATAAAGTTTTTTAGTGGTTTTATTTATCAGGATATGTAAACTTGCAAAATATGAGGATGTGGAGTGCATAAAATCTATACTATTTGGTGTCATTTTCTTTGAGGAGTCAGTAACAGCTGCGACATATCAGAAAAAGCTGCAGGGATGTATTGACCAGCTTGATCCTAAAGAATTGCAAAATGGAAATTTTCCGCATGACGGCGCAACAGCTCATGCAGTTCAAACAAGTTTGAACTTTCTAGGGGAATTTTATGACGTTCGTTTTATTAGCTCCCACACAGACCGACTTTGAAAAACACTATTTTTAAACAATTAGTGGATAATACCACTGAAAACCTAAAAGTGACAATCATACAAGAGTTTGAAAGTATCTCGTCGGAAGTTCTTACTCGAATATTTGAGAATATGAAACGCCGAGTCAATTTATGTATTGAAGCTGGGGTCCAACACTTGCAGCAATTGTTGTAACTTCAATTGAATATGTTACGCTTATAAATTTCATTTTTTTTTTTTTTTAATTGAAAACTGTACGACCAACTTTTCGGTCGAATCTGTCAACAAATCAATAAAATCACCCGGTAGACGGCGCTGCCGCTATTCAAGAACTGCCAAGTTTTATTCACCACTTTGAAGTTTTGCAATACATTTGGTCAAAGTTGAAATGAAAAAGTACCTCAAACTTAAATTATTTTCTTTCGAAGCGAATGTTCCTCTTTCCATAACACAAAACAAACACAACACTAATCGTACAAATTCAGTATAGTTAATTCTTCACAACAGTTCACTATTACGGTGTTTTCCATTTAAATAATCATGTCACATATAAAAAAACAAGTCGATAAATGCCGTAATTAACGTCAAACAATAGCGGTTTATCTATAACTTGAAATATACTAACATTTTTCTTCTGTAAACGTGAAAAGTAACTAATTCCACACCATAGTTAACTACTTGTTCTAACTGACATACTTATCTTACGTAACTGTACATGCTAGAAGTCATTCTTTATGAACAATCACGACAAATGTTCATCTGCCAATGACGCAGTGTCAGAAAAAAAAATATGTCGAAAACCAACAATAGATCAAATAAAATTCGGAACAGCAAATAATCTGTTTTTGCACTATTTGAAATAATACTATCATTATTGTGTAAAGTCCAGACAACCTATATATGACGAAAAGTGTTTTCTTCAAAATAAAAATTAATATTATTACGGCCAGATGCATTTTATAACACTTGTGCAATTTATCCTTGGACCCACATCACTTTATCGAATGGTTGCGATAAATCATTTTATTACCTGAAATAACGATTTTAAAACAATCGACATAAACGAAATATTTATCATCGCAACAATAAAAAAAATCATTCGAATGAAGCCTAATTTTTTATGATTCCTCTTTGCCCCAAAGGTTCCTAACCTTTTCTAACAAAGTTTCAAAAGAACTACACCCGTACCATCAGTTCCAGATATACTAAAAGGGTCATTACACGCAATTACGCGCTTACAGGTAGCAGAAGTAACGGCACTGACAAAACACCATTTAAAGAAACTGGTACCGAATCGTACCTCCAAACCATAACCACCGCAAAAATAAAAAGTAAACGCAGCTGCGAAACAACCTTACATAACAGCATCATCTCCCAGACTGGCTGCACAGAGTGAATATTCCGGAAAAAATAAGATTATGTGCCTATAAAAAATTCGTAAACAGTCCATTATCTTGTCGTTCGCGCATCAGCAACAAATAGCTTCCATCAAGCGCATATTCAACCTTCTCGGAACTCATACGTTTTTAAGGGAAAACAGCTCAGTCAGCACTCAATGGTAGTATGTGTGGGCGAAAACTGGCACACCTTCCTCGCATATATTTTCCAAATCGTATGTTGACCCGCGTACGCACCAAAATAATTCTCTGACGTGTTCCCCTCGCACTCACCTTGCGTCGTCTTCATGCAGTGGACTCCAACCTTGCCCAATTTGGCCCTAATGACGCGGTCCGTGCCAGAAAGATAGATGTATCTGTTGCCGGCTAAGGTGACACCGGACGACGTAAGAATGTCTTGCTTATCGAAACCTTGAACCAATTTGGCTAATTCTTCTTTTGAAACCTGCAACAAGACAGAAAAGGTTACGACCGACTTTGATTTTGAGAAATGCATGTCGATCGAATTTCGCAATATCGAAAGTGGGTGGTGGATTAAATCGTTAAATTTGAATTCAAACGGCGCCTCGCAACATATGTCCATTGAAATGAGTCACGCGACACACTGTCGACTGCGTCATCATCGTTCCCTTGGCTCAGTTACGCACGCCAGGCTTGCCTTTCCAACGCTTTCCATATATGAGACAAATAGGCTGTTCTTTTTCATCGTGTGCAATAACATCTGGCGAACAGATAGACAATCCTGATTCGATAAACAAAAATAAGGATTCAAACGGGGACAAAAAGCGCAGTCGACCGGTCTCTCCGGGGGATAAAAAAAACTTGGGTAAGAGTCGTCTGAAAGGTCATGTAATTCAACCGACCTTTCCGTCCCGTAATCCAATCACGATGATAAACACGACAACCTCGCCTTGCACTTATCGTTCCTCCGAGGACTTCTTCCGAGCTAATTATAGGGGTAGAAGAAAAATTGGTCTGCTTAAACCAGACGGTTTCAGTGGATCTCCATCATAGCGAATCTCTTGTATAATTAGCATGTCGAGTAACATCAACTCCAACCAAAAACTTTGCCGCAATTCTTAATTTAGCTTGTATATTTTCTTTGACCTATCACTTCATCTCGAAAAAGCCAGACGACTGTCCAAAAAATTAATCCATTGACGTAATTCACTCATTTCCTTGAAATCTATTTTGAGAACCAAACACAATCTAGAAACAAATTTTTGGGGTCCATGTTACAGGTCGAACACCAAAATAGAAGAAATAATCTTACTTTAGTCAAGATTCCCTGTGACTTTGCATTTCAATTAAACCAAAGAAAAAACCTAATGAAACCGAATTCAAGATACATTGAACAATGGAAGAAATCAGACGACATAACAACAATGAGTAAAGTCAAGATCTTATATTATTATAATAGATAGCACGATGAACAATCAAATCAATAACAAAAAAATACCGATTTACTTTCAAAGTGACCGAAGCGAAACGTATTAGAACATTAATTTTTGGCCATTTTATGGCTGATGCACCTGAAAGCTTGCATTGCGTTTCCATTTCGTAAAAGAAAGTAGATGAGTGTGAAACTACTGAATTGGTTTCGCTTTTCTAATTTCCAAGTTTTTTGTTTTAAATGAACTCCTGTGGTCACGTCCGTAGTATCTTCCTAAATCATCTACGAATTCATTAGTCCTAGGTTTAAGTAGTTAGATTAAATCGAACACTCCACGCGAAAATACATCTCACAAAAAGGCGGATTGTATTAAGTGAATTTAAGAATCCAGGAAAAACACCTAAAATGAAATGTGTTTTCGGTTCGAGATCTAGTTAAGAGTGAATAAACTTTATTTAAACTAAACTAGATTTAGTCGTTTCTCTCGTAGCAAGTTTCATTTATCTTGTTAGGTTGGAACCCGAAGAAAAAAGAAAGGCATTACAATTTCATTCGATTTTTCTGAAAAGACGTTTCAGGAGAATTTTAACCAAGTAAGTTTGTAACAAGTAACGCTGAACAAATTAACAATGGCAACTTTAACATGTAATATTTATCTTTCTGCTATACGTTCATCGATTGAGTGGGTTTTGTTATCAAGTATGATTATCCTTTAATCTCGGTTTATTGATTAAGACAACGCTCTCATACCAAGTTATCACAGACTATTGTTAATTCTAACAGTGTGAATTATCAGTATTTGTTCAATGTTATCAAATTTTAATTAAAATAATACTGTCACTGCCTTATTTTTAAATATCACTCACACAATTATAAGATTATTTGGTAAGCCATTGATCGATATAAATAAACGATAATGGAAGTGTTTTTACTTGTGGAAAAAATGTGTTACTGCACAAAAACCAAAAAGTCACAAAAATTGAAGTTACTTAACTTCAGAGCATTATTGTTGAAATTTTTACTGAACTGAGTTCACACAACGAAGCAACGATCAACACCCTGGGTGAAAAAAGCCATCTGACTCTTTTTCAGGCGTTTAATAATAGCTCGTGCCATCATGTGGTGTCAGGAGTCGTTCGTAATTCCTCGGTAGGCAGCGGGGGTTGTTCAAAAAAAAACTTTAGCAGGCGGTGGGAGTTTAATTTCAAGCTAAAAATTCAATTTTAATTAAATTTGTATTTTTAATGAAATTATCCACAAATTAACAGGTAGCGCCTACGAAAAAACAAATAACTTTTTTGTGTTCTAAAAATAAAACTACACAAATTATACCGTCACCAGTTGTGCGAAATGAATCACACTTTAAAACTCTGATGCGTAAAATGATTTTACCTTGATTGGTCATCGAGAAATGTGTCTATTACTTTTCCAACGATATTTATGATTAATATTTAAAGCGAGAATCTACAAGAAGTGTCGTTTAACATTTCACTACTTTTGAATTATTTAGAGATAAATGCCAAACTCTTGATTTTGATACAACCCCTGTAACTTTTTTATATTTAAAAATAAACCGATAATTTTTTAAGTAGATTTGTATAATTTCAAAAATATCCGATAAGTACACCCTTTTATATCACTTCCGGTAGAAATGGAAATGACATCAACTTAGATTTTTTTAACACTATTTAATATATATTTTTTATAAATGGAAAACTTGTTTTTTTACTACAAAAATCAATTACAATATTCTAAAATATTTAAAAAGTTATTTAGTATAAATACAATAACATACAATACTATTTAATTCCAATATAGGTGTTTGATCTGTCACATTTTTAACAAGAAGATCGTTCGTATTTTTCGAGCTTTATCACTGTTGTAATGACTCAAAATAATAATAATAATGCAGAAGTTTTCCAAAATTTCAATAACGAAGACTATTTTCGTGTATGAGATATGCAACAAAAGCTTGAAGTGCACTTGCCAAAGGTTCAACGAATTTATACCCAACCAAGAAAAAATTGTATCGGTGATATTATTTGAAACAAATTATTGACAACTTAACAAAAAGGTCGGTTTAAAGTGAAAAATAGAAGATTCGCAATATCAACAAAGATGATATGATACGGTGCTCAATGTTTTGTTAGCGGTTGTTGAAAATTGATACATTTCTATCCAATAGCATGAATCAAATTTTGGTATTGCCCATTGAGGTTTAGTGTTTCATAAAAGATAATCTTTATTTTGATGAATGGAGAGACAAATATCTCTTGCACAACATTAAAGCCACGTGCGGAACGAGAACAAAACGGTGGCATTTTAAAAAATATGTTATAAAAAATATCTGTATAGTTTCTAATTCGGTTTTATGATAGTACCCTATTGTGTAAAAGTTAACTTTCTTAACCATACCGTTACAATTATACTCTATAATGGTTAAATCCTTATTTATGACTGTCCCATCAAAGGCAGTAGTAATCTATTGTTAAGAGAGTTAACTTTTACACATCATAAAACCGAATTAGAACTAGGGAAACTATACACTTGTATTTAAATTTAATTCTTAGCCTGTTCTGTATTTTATTTAATGGTGGTTTTTGGTCGATCAAAAAGCGTTTTTATTTAAATTTAATGAAATCATGCAAACGGAAATATGGTTGTTAATTTTTCATCTATTTTACTAAATAACTTTTTTATTTATCAATTTTAGAATCTTGGTTGCTGTCGATTTTTTGCAGTAAAAAATGCAAACCATTCACTTATTAAAGAATATACAGGATGTTCCATTAAAAAATACAAAGTTGATGTCATTTCCGGTGTTATTCGAAGTGGGAATTAAAAAATGTGTTTACCATTGAGTTACGCTACGAATTTGTCCAAAGAACAAAGGACCTATCTTCAAAAACAGAAACCGGGGGTGTATCAAATAAACAGAAATGTATGTATGTATATCAAAAGGAGTTATTTACCTTACCAGCGGCATAAAATAATCATTACCACACCAAGGTGATGTTGATAAAACAAGCATAATAATACTTTAGCACATGAATGTGTAACGCAAAATTTTTATTTACTTCACCGAAGGAATGAAAACTAACTTTCCCCATCATTTGAGATGAATAAGGTAGTTAAATGCGGTAATCTAATTTTAAAATTAAAATTTATTTCACCGACGTTGATAAAACCCGATAAGAATCTTTTATTTCTACATGGGCTGGAAATAAGTGTTACGCTTTTTTATCTGAACTGCACTTGAGAGTACAACGGAAAATAACAAATAACATTGGAAACTCGCCGACTAGTTTCCACGGATTATTGACAATTTTTAATTTAAAATATAACCGTATCAACTTTTTATTTTTCTCAGAAAAAGTGTGCCTTCGATAACAATGAACATAAACTTACAACCACGTAATAGTAATTTACACAACTAGTTCGGGATAGCCTGCTTCCCGCATGAACGCTTGTTTGCGGCACGACCGAAGGGAGTGCCGCATTTGCGTGAATGCGGGAAGCAGGCTCACGAACGTGTTGTGTACAATATTTTTTGCAACGAATAAACCTTTAAACTGAAGAAATTAACTGTGAGTTATTTATAAACAATGGCGCCGTCAACACATCACAATGTTGACACTACGCGAGTATTTTAAGGTTACCATGGCAACGGGAAGTTAAAATGCACGTGTGCGGGAAGTTCGAACTCCCGCACCCTGGTGAATGCACGAAAGCCATCAAAAAAGATCATGAGTGCAAAAAATACATTCTATACATTTTCAAACTATTTTGTCACTTTTAAACTCATGGACGCCGTCGTCACCAATTTTCTAAATGGCGGAGTAACATCAACAATTATCGACAAAATGCAATAGAAATACGATGACATTTATTAGTTTTATGTAGTGTCTTTAAAGTTATCGATTTTGAGGTATTCATTTTTTCTGCGCTAATTTAGGAACACCTGTATAGTAAATTCACTTGACTTGTACCTAGTTTTAGTTTTACTAGGTACAAGTCAAGTGTGTTTACTATGTAACAATGACGTCATAACT